TAGACGTTTTACCCGTAATAGTCTTAAATCATATTACACACTTTTCAGAATCGAAAAAAGAAAGATGCACGAAGTTTATAAATAACTTTCTTTCGCAGTTCCACACGCAAGACTGTGAACACTGTAAGAACCCTAGAAACACAGTGGGCATGCATGCAAACAAATGTGGCCATGAAGGAGAAAAATATTGAAGGTTAAAAAGCCTGGCAATTCGATGGAATAAATGGCCCGACCGTTACCACTTCATTAAAAGGGAAGAAAATGTTAAAAGCTTGCAAGTACGAAGCCCGGTTCTTCGGCAGGAACTTCGGGGTTGCCTTGTAGCTGACTCTTCTTCGCCCACCTGACAGAAGCTCTTTATTAGCTGTACGGTCTACATATCTTGAAAAGATAGCCTCTGGAAGGTACCATCTAGAAGGCTTGTGCGTAGCGTATGGCGCTTGTTTTCCTCGCTTTCTTTGGCGACGCACACGCGCCTGCCCGGCTGTGGAGCAGCACACGCTGGGCTGTTGCTTGGAACGCCTTCATGTGCGCTTTGCTTAGGGTGATGACATCGGACCATTTGGTTCCTGATGTTTTTGCAGGCAGGCAGCCCGGGGGGGGGGGGGGGGGGGGGGCCCAATGGCTCCCCCCCTCCCCACCCCCCCCCCCCGAAATCTTCCTTTTTGCAGGGACCTCCTCTCTTCCCTCCCCTGACCTAATTTTGGTGATCAGCTTGTTTCCAGTCCCCTCGTCGCCGTGTTGAAGACGATTATGGTGTCCGAGGAATGTTTTTTTTCATGCAAGCTGCCTGTACTTTGACCGGTGTCGTACGCAGTTGCTCGTCGCCAGCTGATGCTCGTTTTTGTCGATTGAATATGTTCTTCACTTTTACATAGAACAGAAATAGACGCCACATGGATAACCTTTTCTCGTAGGGTAAGTACATTTTTTTAAAATTATTTCTTGAGAAGACTGTTAGAACCGCAAAGACACGGGTCGAAATAGAGCAAACGTGTCGCGCGGGCAGCTACGCGATCATGCTAAAGGCGTAAACGGCAGTCCGTTCTGCAATCGGCGAAGCGGAGAAAGCGCTCAGTCCGGTTTTCGGTAACTGCTCCCAAACATTCAGAAAACGTCGTTCGATCAAGATATGTTCGCAGAGGAAGCTCCCTGCTCTGCGAAGTGCGCAGCAGCGCACTTCGCAGTGAGAGTGTTAAAGGAGCCTTGCAAGGACTTTTTTAGTGGTTTTTCATTTGCACCGAACCTTAGCGCACTGAACGTAGTAACTTAATGAAACTTTTCTTTTCTCGAATTTCGCTTTATTTTAAAAGTTATAGGCAAATTAAAATGACAAAAACAAGCAAAAAAAAAAAAAACGACCACCTTTATGACGTTCTTGGTTGCGTGAGTGGCCATGAACTAGAGGAGGGGTAGCGAGCTCAGCGAGTGCTCAAAGGCTTCCGCACTCTGTGTCGACGGCTCGAGAGGGCGCCACTGAAGCATGTTCTGGATAGGCTGTATGAAGCGGGAAGCCAGGGCGGCTCGCATTGCATTTGCTGCGGAATTAAACACTAATTCGGCATGACACTTTGTTGGCCACAAACGACAGCAAACACAGACATGTACAAATTACTCAAAAAAGCTAGTTAAGTTAAGTTACTGAGTAGGGACGCCAAACGTAATTTGAGTAGAGTAGAAATTACGCATTTGTAATAGTAATTGAGTAAACTACTAACTACTGTAAAAAGTAGTGAGTTACTTTGAAGTTACTTTCGAAGTTTCTTTTTGTATTTTTGTGGTAGCCTGATACGCCTGACAAGAAAATCGTTTTCAACAAAGAGGAGGTTTTTTCCGGCGTAGAAGGTCGGAAGGACGCGAAGGATAAGTGAACAAGCATCGTCGCTCGTACAGTTGTAGCTTGAAGCGGGAAGGCGCTCCCATGAACGGATTATCCGTGTCTGCGTTTGTGGGCAGGGGAGTCCGGCTTTGGCAAGGGAGTATGCGCTGTCGACGAGGCGACCATGGTAACAGGCTCCAAGCTGCGAGGTCATTCCAGTGGCCCCTACCCGTGGAACCCCAAACCGCTTGAGTCAGAGCTCACTAAAGGCAGACAACATGAAAACAACAACAACCTTCGGAGTGTCCCCGACTTTCACGGTTGCAGTTGGAGGCGCGGCGCTTACGTGCATTACCGGATTAGGTCAATACCCGACCAAGGCTGTTCCTGCGTTCGTGCGCGCCAGTGTTATGTTTTGGCTACTTGTCGCCACCTTGGCCCAAGGACGCCTGTGGGAACGGGATGTGGGGAGGCCCTTTGCTCGTCACTTCATCTGCAGGCGTCTTATTTATTTCTGCGGTCAAACGTTTTGTGGTGAGCAAAATAAGCACTAGATTTTGAAAGTAGTCAGTAATTTGAGTCCAAGTTACCTAAAAAATGTAGTTAAGTTAAGCCACTAATTACCCAAATAAAGTTGTAATTGAAAGTTACCAAGTTACTCGGAAAAGTACTTAAACTACAGTAGTTTGAGTAGAGTAATTGAACTACGTCCAAGTCTGAGCAAACAAGGGGTAAGGATCAGTTCAGAACGGGAGCCACTTCGCGCTGCCATACCTCCAAAGGGCCAAACCGCAAGCCAAAGCTGGTCGCCGAAGGCCTTCGGAACTCGGAACGCTCGGAACCGGTTGAATCTTTGACTGCAGCGCCGCCGCGCACATCCGGGACCTTTCTACGCTCGCCGTTCGTCGGTGCCTGATCCCACTACACCTTCCTAGTATGCGCCGCTTTTCCACCGCTTGGTGGCGGATATGTCAACGGGTCATTTCTTGTTTCCATACTTTATAAACTGCATTTTTTTTTTCTTATCTAAAATACTGAACATGAACAGAAACTACTTTCATAAATAATCGAAACGGCTCTCGCCACTTATATTTTGTATTTTGACTAAAAAGTTTCTAACGGCTCCGACCAGTAGAAAGGCCAGGACTTAAAACATCACGATGTCGTCACATAATGCGCGCTTTCGGCACCGCAGGTCGCCCCGTAGGTGGAGGAGGTTTCCGCGTCGTCCTGTTAAAATATGACGCACTGATATTTAGTTACTTTCACCGCGCCCGCTGGCTTGCCCCAACCCCAAGCGACGTGGAAACCGCAAAAAAGGTAGACGCGTAAATATGATTGCAGGGCCCCCTTAAAAAACTGATCTCACTCGTCATCGCATAAAATCTAAAGACACCGCCGTTCTCCAAGATTCAAAAATCACTCTCTCCCAGCGGCGTAGATTTTCCATTTTTCCGGGGGGGGGGGGGGGGAGGCTGAAAAGTTCTCCGGGAAGGGGGGGGGGGGGGAGGGGATGGTTTTCCGCGCAATTTTTTTTACACCGGCAACTATCAGTAGTTTATTTTTAGGGGTAAAATTTAGAGCGTATGTATATCGCCGTATGTCCGTCACTGTGTGCGTTATTTTGTTTACATGCCACTACTAGAAGCTCGTTATATGGCACGTAAACAGCGTCTCGGTAGGGATCATAACCCGGGGGAAAATGGGGGGGTTGTGCCCCCCTCCCCCAGGATGTCAACAGGAAGGGGGGGGGGGGGCACGAGCCCCGATGCCCCCCGTAGTCTACGCCTATGCTCTCACCCCTCTTCGTTCACAATGTTACTATAGTTGCACTTGTCAATCTTATCTTACTCCCCATACACAGTAGTGAACAAAAAGATATGATATTTTGTTTCTTTTACAGAAGTATTGCTCGACGTCTAATGAATAGCCAATTATATTTTGTTTTGATATGGTACACCATAATGCAACCTTTTTAGCCACCAGGGGTCGGGTTTCAACCCCTGGTGGCTAAAAAACGGCTGAACAACCGACCCCTTGTGTCAACATTGACAATTTCCTGAATTCCGAATGCACCGTGGGTGCCAACCGGTGATCGATGCAAAGGGTTTCCCTACAAAGTACTGATCAGCTTAGGTTTATACCGAGACATAATGTTTTACGCGGTGTCCAATTTTGTCACAACAGCCAGATTATTGACGACGTCCTCTTGCACTGCTGTTACCAGGTTTTCAATAAATATCGATTACAAAAAATTGATTCATATTTAAGTAAGCATCGGTTTCTACTCTATAAAAACGTTAATGTAGTGTTCCATTACAGTTTTTATATCTGCAGTGCGAAAAAAAAGGAAAGACCTCCGCCCCCCCCCCCTTCCCCCTCCCCCCGCCAAAACAATATCCTGGCTATGTGCCTACGCTTTTGTTTCTGTTTTGTTCCCGAGCGCGAGCACGAGTTGTTAAGTCAGTCGGAAAAAAATCTACAAAAGTACGAAGTCGTCCGTAATAAACACATTAATTTAAAAAAATAAAGTGTACTCGTCGATCGCGTTGGGTAGAGGAAAAACAAACGCTGAGCGCGTCTAGCGCCCGCGTTCAGACAGCAAACATAGCTTAGAGCGGGCAGAAGCGGAAGCAAGGCAGGCCACCAAAAACGTTTCTCCTGCTTGCCGATAAATGGCACCCAACATTTGCCGAAAAGGCCCATTGCTGCATTGAAACTCGAGCCGTAAGTTACGTGCATAATTGCGTTCTGATCTGAGGTTAGTAGGTCATTTTTAAATCTGCCTCACCGATACACCACGTCAGCGGCGGCGGTGGCGGTGCAAGACGCTGGTATAAAATCGAATAGCGCTGCATCATTCGTAGCTTTCACAGCGCAAGACAAAAGAACCAGGAGAACCGTTTCTGTTAACATGCAGCATGTTGAAGCTGCGAATGACACTGCGTTATTTGGTATACCAGATGCGATGCATGTCTCGTTCGAATCGCAGCGCTATTCGATTCGGTCCGCACACCCCTAGAATGATCTGCTAAAAATTGAGAGCCAATCAGCAAATGGAGCATACACGGATACCAAACTAACCCATTGATTGGCGCAACAGGTCACGTGGCCCTTTTCGGCGGCACTCCGACATCTCGATTTCTATTACCCGAGGCATCGGCGAACACATTGCGGGGGACAGCACTTCGACTGACGAAGTCTGCAGGAACAGTTGGTATCTCGCACGTCCGCACAAACTCCGAAATGACGTCGCGGAGCGTCCACAAACAAGTCGTGACGACCACGACGACGACGACGACGTCGTCCCAGTACGTTTCGCAGCAAGACCGCGCGGACAGCCCGGCGAACCCGGGTTCGCCTCGGACATCTCGCTCGTCGGACACCAACGCCGGCGGGAGCCGGGAACGCTCGAGCTCGCCGCTCTCGGCGTCCAGGGTTGCGAGAATTCAGGAGAAGAACGAGCTGGCCCACTTGAACGACCGGCTGGCTGCGTACATCGACCGCGTTCGTCACCTAGAGTCCGAAAACAGCAAGCTGACCAAACAGATGACGATCCAGGAGACCCAAACACGGGAAGTCGCCAGCGTTAAAATCCTGTACGAGCGTAAGCTTGCCGACGCACGCCGCACCGTCGACCTGACCGCAAACGAGAAGGCCAAACTGCAGCTCGACGCCAAGAAGTGGCAGACAGAGGCCGAGACCCTGCGAACGAAGTAAGTAGCCAGCCCATATTTCTTTTTCTTGAGGCAATTTCTAAACCCTGCGACTTCGGCGAGCGGCTGTGGCTCGCGGTCTTTCGTTGTCTGGCTTCTAGGCGTCCGTCGCTCGAGCTGTCTTTTCGAAGCGGGGCGGTTTGTGTGACCGCCAAATCTTTAACCGGCTTCGTGAGCCTTGGAGGCAGAGTCATGATAAGCTAGCTATTTAAAGCTAGACATGATAAAACTTTAAAGCAACTAGAGAAAAAAAGAAGAGCGGGGCATAAACGATTTGTCACAACTTGCCGGGTTCTCCCCCCGCCCCCCTCCCCCTTTTCTTTTTTTTTTTTGGTTCATCGCGGGTTCTGTGTAATTGCTTCTTCGAAGCCGCTTTTGAGCCGAGTACAAATGCTGTGGTGACCTGACAGCTTTTACCTTGGAAAGAATCCGTTGTAGCCCACACACCTCGGGTAGTGTCAGTTACAAACGGAATGAATGGAAGCGTAACAGCTCCACTTAAAAGTGCAGGTTTCATTGATGATTCAGTCGGCCGGCTGTTGAATGACGGTTTTGCCGACCTTGACTGATAGGTGGCGGTGGTTCGACCGGATATGGCGTCAGTGTCATTTCCGCCACGCCTCTTTTCAGCGTAGCACGTTCCGTTTTCTTTTCTTGTGTGTTTGTCTACGTTTCGCAATGCGCGCAAGGAACATAAGAGTGGTAGCTCTAGGTTTATTTCTACATTTTTATTTATTTCCATCCTTACGTAGCAGCCAGGCTTGCGAAATGGCTAGACTGGCTAGAAGTTTTGAGATGAACTTCTCCGGAGCAATGTCCGTGTGAAGTGGGTGGAATTCCCACTTGTCGGAAAACTCATAGTACAGTCCGGAGAAAAAGTTTGCGGCGCACGGGAGCGCGTGCCGAAATGCATTGCCGCGCCGTGAGACGGTGCTCCGCCGCATTAAAAAGCCGCGCTTTGCGCATGCGCGCCCTTCGTGATCGCAGTCATGTCTCTTTCGCTCGTTTCTGTCCGACTCACTCCTGATAACCTGAGTCGGCGCCAGGGGCGCAAGTTGATGTTTCGCTGGCTGTCATGCCTCGCGTCCTCTTCAGCTGCCTCAGCAGCCGCGCTGGGTGACTGAGCGCCTGGTTACCCCCCTCCCCCTCTTCCCCCTACGCGACTTCCATGACAAAGCGCGGTGGCTGAGGCGGCTGAAGCAGACACACAGCATGACAACCAGCGAACCGCTAACTCGCGCCCCTGGTGCCGACCCCTGGTATCAGGAGTGCGTCGAAAAGAAACGAGCGAAAGAGACATGATTGCGAGCACGAAAGACGCGCATGCGCAAAGCACGTCTCCTTAATGCGGCGGCGCGCCGTCGGACGGCGCGGCGATGCATTTCGGCACGCGCTCCGGTGCCCCGCAAACTTTTGCTCCCGACTGTACATGACACATTGCATACTGCATACAGAAGAGTACTAAAAGAAGCTATTATCTGGACTTGTGTAAGGTCCGCATCGGCACTTCTCTTTGTGCTATATATCACAAGGCATTCCTTTTGTTAGCAGTTAGCGATAAGTTATCTGCGTGGGTAAGGTTATTACTACACTGGCCGTGAAGTGGTTCTGGTGTCTTCGATCGTCTGCTCGGCCTACGAGTCTGCCAGCCTCTTTCGTAACCAAGTAAAACAAATTCAAAACCTGTTGCTCGATCTATGGAAACCAGTTTTGGGAGGTTCCAACAATAATTATTTGTCCTTTTTTTATTGAGTTTCTGACCTTTGTTTTACTCTAGCTCTGACGTTTCGAACACCTGCGCTCTACCAGCTTACAAACGGGGTTGTTGATTCCTTGCCTTTGCATCTGCCCCTAACAAAGACAGATGTGGCAAATGCAGTAAACGGCTGATGTTTCAATGGTCTTTCAGAATTCATTTGTAGTGTTCCAGTTCTGTTTGTAATGAAGCATATAAGTGTACTCGTACTAGGCTCTCCAATTAACATTGTGATTTCACCCAAAAAGTTTTGTCGTGCACAACATTACAATAGTGAATTATTACCCAAAATAAAAAAAAAACAATTATGAGGGATATTGGACAGCCCCCTCCCAACGTTTTTATCCTCTCGTATATTTACCTCATCTTCCTTGGTGTGCTTGCACTGGTTATTGCTACAGCTTTCATTGGACAACTTCAGGGTGTCTAGTGACCGGGAATTGTCGGGGAAATTTTAGTTACTAGGAAAAATCGGGGAATCGTCAGGGATATTGTAAAAACGCGAGCCCAGTCAGAGAAAATGTGCCGGAAATGCCATCGAGTGTCTTGAGCATAGACTTGAGGACTTGGGGGAAGAAAAAGAGGCAATGGATTCTGCTTGGAGCGGAGCGCGGGCTCTGCTCACCCCCTGTAGAGTGCTACCCGATGCAAAGGGAACAGCTGACAAATTGAGTCCAAGGCTTGGATTGAACTGAGGGCACGAATCTAGGCTAGATCCAGTTAGAGCTACTAGATTTAGTAACAAAAGGGAAAGCCGCGGACTCCAATTCAATCTAAGCCGAAAGTATGGAAAAGTGTGCATCTGGCGGCTATGCCGTCATGCTGCCGTTCGGTTATTTATGTGTGTGGTTAAGCGTCGTGCTTTCATCGTGTTTCCGGAAGTGGCCCCTTCACTGACGATGTCGGCGGCAAGAAAGTGCTCGTTTAATCTGGACTTTACGAGCCCAAATATTTCGGAATATGCAAGTTGGGTGAAGCCCATGCAAAATGATCCTCAGTGTTCAATGCTCAATGCCTTGTGTTGTAATTATCTTTTATATTTACCCGCCTCTACATTGGTCAGGGAATTTCACCTGAAATTGTCAGGGAAAATCTGGAGAAGTCGGGGAATTTCAAAATATAATTTGCTAGACACCCTGACAACTTTCTTTATAATTGAAGTGTAACGGCAGGTGTAACTGTAGACGCACTTCTTGCAGTCGGGGCTCGCTGATGACTTGCATTTTATTGGATTACATAATACACTTTCAGTTTTTTTTCTTTTTAAAATGAGCCCTATTTATCTGAAGCGAAACTGAGACAAACACGATTGAGTGCTTATTGGACTTGCTTTGAGTTGTGTACTGTGGTCACCTATCCATCGGTTTTTATCGCATAAGATGACCTATTTCAGATTAATACTTTTTGGAAGTGATGCCCGCTATCCAGAGCCATCTTTAACCGTGTGTTTGAGAAAATGCCGACAATCCTGCGAGCAGCCACTTCTCGATGTCGGAGTAGGTCTGGTCACGCAAACACTTTCAAGCCTTCAGTCTAGTTATACGCAGTTGATTGCCACTCAAGGCCCGTTCACACACTTGCGCTTGACTTGGACCGACTGAGACAAGGCCGAGTTTTAATTAAGCCTCTTGAAACGGCTTACGACCGGATGCGCAGCAATGCAGCCGATCGTGAGCCGTCGGAAAAGGCTTGAAAACCGGTCTTGTCGGACTCAAGCGCAAGTGTGTGAACGGGCCTTCACACAGAAATGTGCAAAGCAGCCTTTTGCCTAACATCGTTCAATGACGTGCATTTGCTTGCAACTTTTTAACCCCGTCAGACTCGCCAAACGAGAACGCGAGTGGTCCGCAGCTCAGCAACAGGTCACGTCGCTCCAATCTCAAAACGTCGACCTCCAGGGACGTCTGAATCAGGCCCTTCCACAACTCAAGGTAAGGAAAGCGGCCAAACGCTTGTTTTTACGTTAACCGTCGTTTGTCTGCGTGGTCGGCTTGCTGAGTTTTCTGACGGCTTACTTTTCGTTGTGGTGGGAGGTAACTGGCGCTACGTCTACCAAACTTCTGGACTGGCCTTGGTTTGAGTTAACATTTTGGAGCGAGAGCCTTGCGTGGAAACCCTGCACGGACCTTAGTCGCTCGTGTTGGCATTGGTCACACGGTAGCATCGTTGTGGTAGAAAATGTCTGGGCAGAGTGCAGCTGTTGATTTGATGCAGTAGTGTGGAGTGGAGGAAGTAAATGGTGTAACACCGTACCCCTCCTCAATGAGTGGAAGGAGTGATTACTCTGGTAACATCCCCCTCCCTCAACAGGGAGTAGAGCAGTAAGTAGTGTAGTAACATCCCCACTTCACTATCACCTCTACTGTGTAAGAGTGGGGCTGCTCATTGAGGTAGGAACTGTGTATTAGTGCTATTGCACGCTCGTTGCCTTGAACAAAGCATCTAAACCAAGCTATCTTTTTTATGGTCTTAGTTTTCAAGCGTAAGCTATGTGAGAGTATGTGCATGGATGTATATATTCCTCTTTCTGGAATCTTCTTTGCAAATTACAAAGCTCTGTGTAGAAAAATTTTCAGTTTTCTAGACTCCGGGTTGTGCAGACATAGATATTGTACATTTCAAGAAAGGCCAAGTCTAACTGCAACTTTTAAATGAAAGAGTACAGTTGCTGACCAGGTGGCAACAGCAGCACTCGTCTTGATTGGTGACCACAGTCTGTGCCATATCCCGGCCCACGGTCCAGAACGGATGCAAAGCCCTTTAATTTTGTTTTGTTGGTCCACTTTTTAGGATGCGGAGGCAGAGCGGGACGCGATGGCGAAGGAGCTTGAGAAGCTCCGCAAAGAGCTGGAGGCGGAGATTCTGCGGAACGTCGAGCTGCGGAACAGGGCCAAGACTCTCTCCAAAGACCTGGATTTCCGGAAGTCCCTCTACGAGAAGGTGAGCATCAGAATGAAACGTCGCAGAGTAAGCGTGGTTCCCTAGGACCTTTCTAGAATTTCCGGACAATGGGGAGCATGTGGAAGGAGGACCCGCAAAAGATCTTGAAATTTCTTTGCATGTGAATTTAGAAACTTCAGTCTGATCGGCAACTGTGTGAATTCAGTGGGCAAAGTATGCAAAAGACTGTGTTTTCAAAAGCGTTCTGCTTTCTAATGTTAGTGATGTGATGCCATAAAATCCTGTGAACATACCCTCCTTCCGACGGGTAGCCCATTCGATTTTTCTAGCTAAATATTCATAGTGGAAAAACTCCAACGACCGCACGCGGATCGCGCGGTCGATGCGATTTCCGTTGACAAGAATCTCATCAACTGCGCGATCCGTGGGATTGGTACGCGTGGCAAGCGCATTTGTAGTGCGTTTCTTCGTTTTTTGTCTGCAATATGCAGAGATAAACACAAAGACAAGTGTTCATCACGACACCGGTTTCCGTGACTGGCAAGTCTGGAGCAGACTACTGCACGGTCATTGCAGTATGAAACTCAAATTTGCTGCATCCACAATCTACGGCAGTGGTTCTCAAATGGGGGTCCGCGGACCCTTTGGGGTCCGCGAAGCCCTGCCTCCTGGCGATAAAAGTTGTCTTTTTTCAGATTAAGAATAAAGCTTCCATTTCTTGGGTGAGTTTTCTCGTGTATACGTCAATAAGAGAAATCCACTTCACACTAGCCCTTAGTTACATCCATTTATTAAATCACTATCATAATTAATCAATAACTTTTCCTTCCCCTCACCGCGAATGGGGTCCTCCATCATATCCGCCGATCCACAAGGGGTCCGCGAAACACCAGTGGTTGAGAACCACTGATCTACGGTATCCTTTCCCGTGACAGAAAGTTTGTAGCGAATCCTCGCGTTTTCATTGCATCGTGAAACGCAAACTTGCCACATCCGTGATTCGTGGTGACGCTTTCCGTGTAGCATGTTTTTTAGTCCTGGTGTTCGTCGCTAATTTGATAAAATTGCTGTGGCATCCCCAAGATAGCCCACCCCATCTTTCCAGAAGTTGTCTCTATTTTGGGTGAACGTCCACAAGGAATTTTTTGCTATTTGATGTATCGGCCAGAGTGGTTCACAAATTAATCGAAGAATGCCTTAATTAAACGGGCGATAGAACAATGCGTTCCATCGGCCGTTCATTCGTACCCAGCTTTTATGGGCTCAGTTTGCTGGATCACGGAGCGCATACTAGTTCAGTGAAAACACTATCATCGTACCGTGGTACAATTTCGGTTTTGCCCGTGAGTCAAAATTCGTATCAACATAAATATTAACAAAAACAATTTTCTTTTACAATCTTTTTTGAGACATGTCCGTCCAAACCAGGTAGAAAAGAAAATTGCCTATGTTTAGTGTCCCTTCAAAAACGTACTCCGGCAATTTTTTTTTTTAGCTACCCTAAGTAACTATTTTTGCAATCGCTGGCCTCTACCCTTTCCGGTATGCCATTCAGTGTCGCGAAATTAAAAAAAAAATGACCGCATCTCCACGTGGTGAATGATATTGATTGGGATAAAGCTCTGCTGTGCGCTGATGATACTAATATTTTTTTATTGCTCATAGTTAGTGTTGAGTTGCGGGTTGCGTTTCGACTTCATTGTTACTGCTTTGTGGTCGGTGAAATGCGGGGCCAGTGATTCTTCTAGCAGATCAGCTTGGATCCGCTAGAAGCCGTGGGAACGGATCTCCACCGCTTAAGTCAACGGTCCATGTCAGAAAGAGAATATATGGTATGGAACGTAGTTATATACGCATTTGAGCATTTCACCGCAGCGCCCTCTCGTCTATAAACGTTGAGCCAATGCATGCAAAGTTTAACGCGATTATATACGCATCTGACAGCAGCGCCCTCCTGTATAGACGTTGAGCTGCTACATGCAACGTTTCATCCATGACAAACCCCAGCTCTTGTGTTACTACCACATCTCAGAGCCCCCTACTTGTCCCGCAGTCGTGGCCGAGTGGTTAATGCGATGGACTAGAAATCCATTGGGGTCTCCCCACACGGACTCAAATCCTGTCGACTGCGCAAACATTGTTTTCTTTTTATGTGAGCACAGACGCCGGCCGGACGGACGGACGGAGAAGGCTAGACCCCAAGGAGCTTCGCCCCTAATAGCTATTGTGAAATCGGCAAATAAAAATGACTCCAAAACCAAGATTCAAATATACCCTCGCTTTTCAATGCCGTGACATTAGGGGAAAGGCAGGCTTGCAGGTTGAGCGGGCAGTCTAGGAATTGACTGTGCCCAGCGTTCGTTCTGTGCTGCTGGACAAGGACTGGAGCCAACTTCCAAAGCATTCCTTTGACACCATGAAACTAATCTGTTGGGAATAGTCTACAGCCCAAAGAGCAAACCCCTGCCTTCCCCTGAGGTCACCTCTTCATTGTGGCCAGTAGACTCGCTTTGAAAGACAAGGTGAGGATGACAATTGTAAGTTCAATAGCGGAATTTTTTTTTTATTTTGGCACAATATTTGGGTTACTTTTTCAGTGATCTTTTTTGGCGTGTTTAACGAATTTCCAGGCAAATCTGGCACTACGACGAAAATGCCAGAGGACACCTTCAAGGAAACGACATCCATGCCCCCCCCCCCCCCCCGCCCCCCCCCCCCCCTAAACCTTTCCTTGCCCTGGCGTGGGTGCCATTGCTCAATGCAGGAGCTCCAGGAGGTGCGCGTGGCCAAGCAGACGGAGACCACGGAGATCGACGGGCGGCTGAGGGAGGGCTACGAGCTGCGCCTGGCGGACACGCTGGTGAAACAGCGAGAACTGTACGAGTCGCAGATGCAGCTCGACCGGGAGAAAACGCAGAACATCTACGAGAACAAGATGCGTGACCTGCAGAGACTGCTCGAGCAGAGCTCCAGCGATAGCTCCAGCAAGATGGAGGAGATGCGAGCGTACAAGTCGCGCATCGAGGGACTCAACTCCAAGATCTCGGAGCTCGAGTCGCAGGTCAGGGACGTCTTCCTTTTTGTGCAGAATTCGTTGGGGTTAGGGTGTTAAGAATAGATTTCGCAGGCTCTATTGTGCAAACAGACCTGGGGTCACAGATTGCATCCAGCGCAAACTTCTAGCACAAAGAAATCGAAATCGCTTTGCATTGAATTCTTCTTTAAATTGAGTTAGGTAATTGGCACGACACGGCATCACTTTCCACACTATGTTTGGCGGGAAGATGGACGTCGGGTCAAATCACGACAATCGTGCGACCTCAGTTTCTCTGCTGAATTTGGAGGAGAAATATATGTTGGGAGTCGAAAATTTCTTCACATAAATTTTTCGGGGAAATGGCGTGCGAGTCCTCCGCAGCAGTTGCTCAAGAATTTTTTTCGTCGAGTTTATTGAGCGCGCTACACCTCAGAGTTAGAGCCATGTAGAGTTTCTAACACAGAAACAAATTCTGTGTTGGAAACTCTGCATAGTTGTAGCTCTGAGGTGTACTGCACTCAACGATGTAGAGATGCGGAGAGCTTCATCAGCGGATGAAGCAGAGGCCGGATTCTCAAAGCGAACTTACGACGAAAAAAATGCGTACTACAAATTTGAGAGAAAATCCGTATTCTCGAAACGAAATTGTCGTAACTTTTGCGCAGGTTACGACAAAATTCTACGACAGCTCCGAAGCTGTCTTACGCCCTTTCTATGATCAAATTAACATGGCCGACAACGTCACTCAGTTGCTCGTTCGCAACGACCCAACGGACATTTCTTTTTCTGCCTGCTCTTCTTGCGCGTCCCGACTTCAAGCAGCAAGAAAAAAATGAAGAAGTACTTGAAACCGACCACGACGAACATGAACGCGGGATCCACAGACACCCGGAAAAGGCAACAAAGGCGACGATCCCACCGACCAAGCGAGCTCGGCAGAATATATAGGCCTAGCAGGCACTCCGACCCGTTCCGGCGCAGCATTGCTCAGACGGTCCTTGGCCAAGACCGTCTGCCCACGACCGGCTGGCTTGCTGAATGGAATATGCCCGCGCGGCCCTTGTGGACACTGCCGTTTGATAGCTTAACTAAATTTCAGAGGTCAACCGATTCCCCTCATCATCTCGATCACCTTGTTTTCCGAGGCAGCGGTGACGAACGCTGTCGTCGAAAAGGGACTCCTCGATTCTATCTCCTTGTTTTGTGTTTTATAGAGCTCAAATAAACGCCGTATGGATTACCTTCGCAACACGGTTTGTACACTTCCTTATTAGTATGCCATTTTTAACTGTCGAGCTGTATATCCGTTTGTGGGAGCTACGCGATGCCGGTCCAACCTTTCTTTTCCGACTGTCATGTCAGTATCGAGTTGCAATCGTAGAAGATCGGTTCCGAAGCGCTTACCGAAACGCAATCTGAATCCGGCACTTCGATCAAACGTATTGCTGACACTCTCGTAGTTCAAACGTATTTTTTTAACGTCGGCTCGCTCCTGCAATTCCAAGGCCGCGAGAAACGCCGCGGCGGTTTGTTTTCTTCTACGTCTCTTTGCAAACGACTGGCACGGGGCTTTTACCAACGATGACAGTTGTGTTCACTTTGTAGCGATCGAGTTTGTAGCAGTCAACGAAGCGTTTAAATCGTGTTAGCGTCGATATACCACTGCACGGACACGAACCCCAGACAAGCGGTGGTGGAAAGGTCGCCCGTGTTTATGAGAATCAGCTTGAACACTACACATTTACACACAAACAGGACAGGACATACACAGAGATGTCTATCAACGAGTGGTTAGCCTGTGTTTGTTATTAACAATCCAAGTGCTCCGAACTGTGCCTAGCTCTCTAATTGGTTGTTCGTTTTGCCGAAGACGCCGTTGCCATAGCAACAGCACCGGAAGTCATCGCTTCTCCGTAAGAGGTCGTAACTTTCCTCCTCTCACTTAAGAATGCGTTTGTGAGTACAGTTCTCGCCTCATCTTACGATGATCGTAACTTTACGAACTTCGTAGCTAAGTTGTCGTAGGTAAGAGGTTTTTTATGAATCTGGCCTCAGATGAGCTGCACTCGTCCTTAACAGTTTGCGGGACAACTCCGGGGTGACGGGTTATGCTCGTCCAAAATGGTCGAGTGTCGACAGTGCGCATACATGGGAACCAGGTCCAACTAGCCCCCCCCCCCCCCCCCCAATTGATCAAGATCAATGGGGGGGGGGAGACTAGTTGGCTGAACATCTAGACTTTGAGTTAACAAGCGCAAATGACTAAGGGAAGGGGACAGGACAGAGTGCTCACTTACAACTGTCGATATTATAGAGCGTGTTGAGAAAGACAAGGTGGAAGTGAAAAACAATAGAAAGTTAGAAATAAACTCTGAGCTGCTATTAAGACAAAATATTTAGCTTTAAAAATCGAAATAAACATTTTTTTTAAAGAATATATTTTAAAAAAAGTTGTAATGGCATGGATAATGAGAGTAGCATATCCCATGTCGGCGCGCTACAGTCCATGCCAGGCGTCATGAGCATTTATTCACTGTTGCCTTCAGGATAGACTTTCTAGCCGCACAGTGAATAAACTGCTCATGACGCCTGGCATGGACTGTAGCGCGCATTTTCTTCTTCTCCTCTGGGTGCCGACATGGGATATGGTGCTCTCGGCATCCATGTCATTACAACTAAATATTCTCTCTTAGTGGCAGCTGAGAGTTTATTTCTATCTTTCTCTTCTCCTTTTTCACTTCCACCTTGTTTTTCCCTACATGCTCTATTAAACTGACAGTTGTCAGTAAGCCCACCGTCCTGTCCCTTTCTTCTCAGTCGTTTCAGCTTGTTACTAAGTCTAGAGTTGATGCCCAACATTTTCGGTACTCAAAGACAGTTCAGGTGCGGTGCCTCGACCAAGTCTCCAACCGGTGTTTTAACAACGTCCTAACAAATGACCTTAATTTCCACGCAATGACTCGTAGAAGTTTCGTCGCCCTCCACGGTCGTGGCGGTGTCGCAGCAGTCGATTTTCAGTTCTTCAGTTCACGGAAGCTTGCCAGGGGCGGCACAGCCGCGCCATTTGGATACAATCACAATTTCCTGCGCCTGGCGGTGCCAAAAGCCAGAAATCGGCCGTGATTGTGCCGCGCTGCTCCGAAGATTACGGCGACGCTACGTTTAGCGGATGGCGAAACCTCAGTCGACATCCTTGGCTATTTCGTTGCCAGGTGCTGCAAGCCGCCACCCGATTCCTTGGTTCAGCCATATCTGTCAATCCATCCATCCGATGGATTCGGTGTATCATACATCCTAGCCATCGTACTGCTGCGTCATACATTGTACAGTCGGGGACAAAAATCCCCAGGACGCGCGAGCTGCGACTGAAACGCATTGCTCTGCCATCTGCCGCCGGACCGCCTGGTTTCCAGATCACACAAAAGCGCATGCGCGTCCTACTGAGTTTGCAAGCATGTGTGTTTTTCCGCTTTTCTGCGGCGCGGCGCCGAACTCGGAATCGGGCGCGTGGTGCCGCTTCGGAGATAGCGCTTGCGGCTGACGAGCGTCTGCTACACATTCCAAAACTGGAGATATCGCCTGCGGCATTGTGCTGCATTTCGCCGTGTCAGCGCATCTTGCTTTATAACCAGCTGGGCTTATCGCTCAGTTGAGCAGCCGTGACGCCCTGCTTCATAGTTGCCATGTCAGTAAGCGCGGTGAGCGCTATCTCCGAGGCGGTACCACGCGCCCGATTCCGAGTTAGGCGCCGCGACGCAGAAAAGCGGCAAAACACACACGCTTGCAGGCACAGGACGCGCATGCGCTTTTGTGTGATCTCGAAACCAGGCGACCCGCCGGCGGATGGCAGAGCGATGCGTTACAGTCGCAGCTCGCGCGTCCTGGGGACTTTTGTCCCCGACTGTATATGTACAGTTATATTGTACGCATACAATGTAGCATCTAAAATTTGTTGCCGAGTCTTGCCCCTCCGGTTTTAATTACATTTTTTCTAAAATAAATTTCTTTCTCTGAGCGATTTGAGATATATTTCGCACTAAAGTTTAATGCAATTCTTTCCAACACTTGTAGTACCAACCTCATTGGTTTAAGTTGAACTCGTGTACAACTGGCCGAGATGCTTTGTTAAAATTTAATTTAATTACCTTAAAGAGCAACTGAAAATAAAGTTTTTTGTTGTTTTATTTCTAAGAAGGTATGCAAAGATTTTAACGTTGAAAAAATTGGCATCTTTTGCTTTTCACATTGTTCATCTTGTCACAAAGAACGGAAAACACACCTCCTTCCTTCGAAATGTTGCGATTCCGCCGCGTAATCGAGAGGTAAAAATTAAAATATCCCGCGACCTGCAGCCGCGAGCGGTGGCCATAGGAAACAGGTTGCATGACGTGAATGGGGTGTCTTTTAGAAAGATGGCAAGTTGTGCGAATACCTGCTCGATAAAAAGTCACTTTTTTTTATAAATCTTGTTGTTTCAACATGAATATAAATGTGTCAAAAACCTGGTATCATCGACAAATCTTTTGTTATACGAAGTTTTAGTGGCGCCATCTATCCTAGGTCCACAAAACCGTCAGCTCTATCTGCTACCGCGAACAGCCGCCAGAAGCCGGAGGGGGACAGAACCGGAAGTGGATAGCCGGACCCGGATGAAACCTTCATCCTTTCACCATATTGCTCGCGTTGCGCTGGCTGCGCCCGCTAGCACGTGGTCACGCGGTCGCGAGCGAATGAGTTATCGCTGCCCATTGATGGCTCTAAAGAGGAAGCTTCACCGGAACCCCGCGTAAACCCCATTGACGTCACAGCGCACGTGACTAGGAAGATGGTGAAGGAGTTGAGAGGTGCCGAAAACCTGAATCTTTGTCCATTTTTAAAATAAAAACTGGGACATGCAGGCAAAATCGGTTTTTCTTTACTTCAGATAGGTCAAGACACGAAGTCCCAAATGATTTAAGCAAAGCATTGAAACTGTTGCAGAGCTCCTTTAAGTAAAATTATAACATGCCTGTGAAAAAAAAATTTTTTGCGGAAATAATTTTTTTAATGCAGTATCGACGGTGTGAGATGCAATTTAGTTGGTAGTCGCCTTGTTTCCACTCGTTTGTTCTCGGCATTTCGAGCGTCTGGAGTCTGGAGAAGTGGATCGGCTTGACCATCACGTTAAGGTGGAGAGAGTGAATGACCATTTCATGATGTCGTGGTCTTTGCACGCTGTTGTGACCGAGAAGCTCCCCAGGCCAGGGCAGGAATCGCAGGACGACTCCTGGTAGGAAGATTGGGAAGAGACCGTGACTTGAGTCTTCCGCCGCAGAACCTGTCCCTGACGGCCCGTGTGCGAGACCTGGAGCGTCTGCTGGACCAGGAGCGGGAGTGGCACGGCCGGGCCCTGATGGCCAAGGAGGAAGAGGTCTCCCGGTTGCGGGCGGAGATCGAGGACCAGCTGCGGGAGTACCAGAACCTGCTGGACATCAAGGTGGCTCTGGACCTCGAGACTGCCGCGTACCGCAAGCTCCTGGAGGGCGAAGAGTCCCGGCTGCACATTACGCCCAGTGAGTCCGTAGAGTTTATGTGAGAATCTCGGGGTGGGGGTTCGCGATGGGAGCAGAACGCGGCGAATTGCGTAAGCGGTGGAGTAAGTAATCCCGAGTGAAATGAGAAAAAAAAGCTACAGAAGGGCGGAAAATGAGAGCAGACAATAGGTTGGCCGGGCTTTTGCTAGTACAATCGTTAGGGCGCTTGTAAAATTTTTGTTGTATAGAATGTCATAGGTCTGTGTTTTTCTTTGTGCAAGTACGAAACAAACCTGCAGTAGGTGCAGACCTTGCAACTGATGCTTTTTTGCTTCTTTGTCTGAAAGCGTTGCCAGTGATCTGGGCCCTTGGGGAACAGCCATTCCAAACCGGCCCAAATGCATGCGACGTTTCCCCGTGGAAAATTATATTAACTCTTAAAAATGATCTAGAGGAAAGGGTTCCATGCATTTCGGCCACTTTGGAATGTGGTGGTCCCGATAAGGCCACGTTGCTGGTGTCGCTTTGTTACACAGAAAGAACTTCAAAATGAGCAGGGAAACCTCGCCCGTCGTGGTTCTCTTTACGCAATGCGTAAAAATGATGTTGGCGACCCTTTGGGAGCAACTCCGACTCGTCGCAGCGAAAGAAACTCGCCTCACCTATCGCCCTATTTCTTTTCCCACTTTTTAATCGCCCTTGCGGAGACTCTTTCCAGGCACCGCACCACCACCACCCAGAAGACAAGGCTTGCACATTACGTTGTCTGCTCTTTTCACGTAGGATCCCGGCACGGGATTGTAGGCGCACACGTGCGATCGCCGGTTTTCCTTTTTTTTTTTTCTTAGAATCAAAAGTGATGCCGTCAAAACTGCTAGTGTAGGGGGCACATATTTGGGAACGCAACGTGAACTGTAAAACGCAAAGACCACTAGCGTCCGTAAAAAGTAAACTGCGAAAAAGCAGCATTGTCGTGGTGGTTCTGACGACATTGCTCAGCGCGCATTAACGGCGCAAAACCAAACTCCATACAAAGGACGCTGCCTTTCATTTTTTTTGCGCCTCCTTTCTTGTGCGCAATGAGACTCCTCGCTTTTATGCCCCTCCCCTTTCGTGCGAAGGGACGGATTTTGTCAGACTCGCTCGTCGTGTAGCGCAGTCAAGGGCGGGCAATGGAGGCGAGCGACGCGTTAACCGTGCCGCACACACGCGATTCACCGTGCGAGATGCGAACGATATTTTGTCCCTCTCAGGCGCATCTACCAGCGGGGCTGAGATGTACACCAGTCCGCTGCTCCGAGGCGCCAAGCGCAGGCTGACCTTCTCCCACCGGGAGGAGCAGTCAAACTTCGACGTCCAGGTCTCCGCATCCGCCAAGGGGGACCTGGAGATCTCGGACCACTGCCCAGTCGGAAAATACGTCATCGTAAAGAACAAGGGCACGAAGGTTGGTAAACGTCGCCCACTTCTGCCATCTAAAGCCTATAGACGTCTCCTGGGTAAGGCCGTGGTGCCGAATTTTCGACGTCTTCTGAAGGGCAAACGCGGGGGCATAGGGTGGACCCAAGTGCTGCGACGGCGTTTAGCCGACGGTCAAGTTCTAGTCGATTAAAGACAAGTCTTCGTCAGACGCTGATATGGCACTTGATCAGTCAATGCCCCGTGTTGCCTCTTTAGGCGGCGTTTAGAATTCATAACTGCAGCCTTGTTATCTAGGAGCTGTAAGGCCAATGCTTGGAAGCCTGTGACATGAAAGGGAAATCACGTTTGAATTGCACAGAGCCTAACACTGTCTTGTCGGAAGTCGGAACAGAACCAAAGGCTGAAACAAACTCAAGCGGATATACTCGGAAGTGTGAGGTCACAGCACATTTGATGGCGACACCGCGGAGGCGCCAATTGTTTGCTCGAAGAGACGCCAAAACATAGGGCCAAAACGACGGGGCTCGCACGATGACGCGAGCCCTGTCAAACAGGACCGATCCGGGTTTCCTTGTTCTCCCGTGCCTATTCAACGCCTGTGGAGAGCGGGGCAACTGAAACGGTCAGGTTGTGATCCGTTGCCACCACAAGTGGCGAAACTCGCAAACACACCGTCAAGAAAAACGCGACATCACTAACGCAGAGAGGCTCGTTACAAACCTGATCCTTTTAGTTGCCCCCGCAGGAGTTGCATAGGTGCGAGAGTAAAGGAAAATCCGGTTCAGCAAAGTTTGACAGGATTTGTGCGCTTGTAGCTTGCCTCAGTACTTTCGCGGAGCGGCGCTGCTTTTAATTCAGAGTGACGTGACGACATTCGGTTTAATTTTTCTTCAATAATATGTTGGTGCTTTAAGAGCAAAAAATTGGTGTCTCTGGTCTAGCACAAACGTGGTTGACATTTCGACAATAAAATAGGCGCTCGAATATCGTCGCGCTATGTACTTGAAGCCGCTTGATATACCCTATTGGCTCGTGGCATAGCGACATTAGGACTTCAGGTAAAACAAAGTTTAACACATAGTTGATTTCTTCTGCATTCTTTCCCAAGCTAAAGTAATCGTCGTGTTCGTATGTCTATACAGTGGGAAGTAGTCGCTCCGTAGACAGGAAATTTAGCCAGTGCAGTACGGCCACCAGCCTGGGGTTTTTTAACGTGCATCACGCAGTAGTGACACAAGGCTGCACGCCGGTATGGTGCTCATTCACATTAGAACGGACAAGAGTGAATTGAGCACGTGATCCTTGAGCTCTGCGGCACGAATTTTCGCTGCACAAGCTGCAGTACTTTCATTCTCTATGCTACTGTTTCCCTGCCCCTCTCCTAAGAAGCACGGGCATTGTTATCTGTAGATTGTGTTGTCGTTTACTTTCAGTGTTTGAAATTCCATTTCTATTTTCGTTTGCGTTGCTCGCAGACGTCTGCAACGATTGAACACATTCGCAGTTAGCTTCACCAAGGCAAAGTTTTTTCTCGAATCTCGACAAATTGGAGCAGCCTGGTATGGGTGGTGGAAATAAAACAGACGCTTCACTCTCGGTTAACTGCGAAAACGGGGTACATTCCACAGCATTTTAACATCTCTAAGTGAAATAAAAACCTGTGCAAGTTTCCGGAGAACAATTTGGTGCTCGACTTTGCTTTTCGAATTGCGGTACAAGATTGCCAGCTCAGCTGGCCACTCGGTTTGCGAGAAATATTTGGGATGCTCTCCTTTTCGGGCTCGAGACTCCAAGGAACAGGCTCCACTCCCCGTAAGCGACGGTCCAACCGCGCGTTAGCTGATCCTTGCAGGTGCGCCTTCGAGATATATATATATATATATTTTTTTTTTTCAGGAGATTCCATTGGCTGGCTGGCGGATTGACCGGAGGTCCGGCAACGATGAGTTCACCTTCCGGTTCCACCGGACCCACGTAATCCAACCGGGAACCACCATCACGGTTCGTTGCAGTTCTTGAATTGTTTTTCTTCGTCGAAGGCACTGGTTCCATTTGTTTCATAAAAGTAGAACGAGGCTTTCGTCAGTTCAAACTTAGTCTTTCATAGAGGGACTGGCGTAAATACCCCCTGGCTTGCTTTTTTATGGGCGACATTTTTCGAAGACTCAGTTTTTCTTTAAGTCCGACCACAGGCTGCGCTACCGTCCTTCAGTGTCGGTTGAGCAGCGCCCGAAGCGCGTCGTCCCTGCACTTGTTGCCTTTGCGCATCTGCCATCGTCGGCTACACCAATCGCGTGCAGTGGATGCAACGAGGTCCCACTTTTTTTTATGTTTGCGATTGGTTAAGTTGGTGATGGCGTATCCACAAAGACGAGCGGTGTAACGGCACGGTTTTGGCTTTGCTCGATTGTCTTCGTCGAATCGTCGCGTCGGCTGTGGTAGGACTCGCAGTGAAACGGTGCATACAGTGGTCTCGCGATAATTCAACCTAGAAATTTTCGTACTCACTTTTATTTCGGACAAATATAAATATTTTGCTTTTCCCGCTATGTTTTGATGCATTTTTAAGCTGCTTAATTCAAGTGGAGCTTTCGCTTAATTCGTGCCATTCGTTCATCGGGAGTGGGCCTGGCCCCGTTGAGGGCACTCCTTGCCAAGCACCCGTGTGCTGCGGAAAAGCAGTACCTGCGAAGCTCGCGGGCATTGGTTTTCCGCTGTACGCGGATGTTCGGCGGGGATCGCAGGCATTACAGTCCTGACAATCTGCTTTTATTAATCGTGTTTATTTATTTATTTATTTTTGTGGAGGATTGAGAATAAAAAAAGAATATTTGTGTCTATCGAGCTGATTTATAAATTCGCTCGGTGAGGATGGCTGGGCGTCTCTTTGGGCTTAATTTTGCGTCAAATCTGTCGTTTTCTTTTGCCACCCCCATGTCGGCATTGGACTTTCTGAGGCCATGGTTCACGGATATAGTTACATTAAAACTAACAAAGCTTAGAAGGGGACAAGTGAAGGTTGGGCACAACCTTCACGAGTTCAGCTGAATTTTCGTTTAAGCATGGTAAAACGGTAGTAAAAGGTAGTGATGGGCCAAACTTTTGCCGAATCGAAAGTTTGGTGCCGAATTTTCGATTCGATACATTGTTATTAGGCTTAGCGTTGATATTTAGTTTTTCTTGGCAAAAAAAGTGTTTTTTTCTTAACCTAAAAACGACACCGATACAATTATCTTCTAGAATGTCATCTTGTTTAGTAATAACTGGGCTTATATGCATTATATGTTGTATTTGTGTGTTTACTGGCAATTTTAGTGACTCATTGCAGGAGTGGCGTGACAGGGAGGTTGGGTAGAAGCGAGCGTGGCGCAGTCACGAATCACTCTACGAGTTTCGGTTTTAAGGTATCATCAGCGCAGGCCGGCGTGTGTGTGCACATTGCTAAAATGAAAGCAATAACGCTGCGTTCTTGCTTTCTCTGGGAGCCACCGTTTTGTGCGGGAAAACGAATGCAACGGTTGCTGAGTCACTTGGAGTCGGCTTTGCATGAAAGTGTGCGTCCCATATTCACAACGTCTCGTTTTTAACCTTTAAAATACCGGTTTCTGGTGTTTAAGAATACACGAACGTTTCGGAAGATGGGGAGAGTGAATGTAAGATGTGCAATGTCGAGCATTGCAGTTCCGTGTTTAGTTTTATGCAGACACATGAAAATTGCGAGATAACACTAATTGAAGAAGCAATATTTTGTTGTTTGAGCCGAAAAAAGAATTGTTATAATCGCGAGGAGTGGTTTAAAGTAATTGTGGGACAATGTGTCTGTTTCAGAATACATGGCATCATTCGTCACTTGCGCAGTGGACTGCGTAAATTACTGGTCGATCTTCTATTCTTGAGGCAGAAAATATTGAAGAGGACCACGCTCGATCACAAACGCAGTTACCGTGTTGCCTACCCCACACCGCGGCGTAACCGCTGGTTGTACTACGCTGCACGATGGTAACCGCACGACTGCACAGCGTCCATTTGCAATCCAAGGCTCCGTCGCGTTCTCGCGCGTGCGCAGACATTTTCCGAAGTTTTGCCGAATCTTTGCCGAACTTTTCCGAATCTGAAGTTGAGCAGATTCGGTCCATCACTAGTAAAAGGCTCGAAGAAACTATCCAATAATCGGTTTGAAATTATTCTGCCAAAACCGCTATTGGCTTTGAGCTTGACCAATTCTTTATGCGTGCGCCTGCTTTACATTGGCCTGGGTCGATAAAAGTAAAATCTGTTTGGTATGTGTAGCTATTCCTATAGCAAATTGCTACTTTGCTTTGTATCATAAGCCCATAGTGCTGGTAGTGGAAATTGAAGTATCAATAGAAACCCTACCATAACATTTTTTTCGTCCTAGTAAACAGACTAGGCAGACACCGTAAATCCCAGAGCGAGGGGAAGACTGGCCAAGGAAGACCGGACGAAGGACAAACAAAAAAACTTGGGAGTTTAGTGTGTCCTTTGTCCGTCCTTTCCCTCGCACCAGGATTTATTATGCCCTTCTGAAAAAAGCTGAAGCGCCTTAAAAAACAGTTTGGAGCGGTCTTCTACTATAGCTTTTTGTCCCATGAATTCAGTCATCGCGCTTTTGGACTGAAGTAAACGTAAACCTCGTATATTTTGAAATGTGTGTGCAGCGATTGCCGAAGGGCATGCGGCGAGCCTTGCCGCCACCTGTTATCCGTCGAAGACATTGCGACGTTATAGTCGTCCTCCCCGCACAGTGCCGAGCAGAGTCGTTTGACCGATGACGTCCCTTTTGTTAGTCTCGCAGCGAGAACTGTTACTTGCCACCACTTGAAATAACGTCCGTTGTTTTTGACAATGTAGGACGTCCGTCACCAGTGTTGCAAAATCTTCAAAAAAGATTGCTCGCCGCCCACGGGCATCAAACCCGGGTTCGCTCCGTGCGGAGTTGTTGATGCCACAGCATCAACAACCCGCTCTATACCGGAGGCTTTTGTAGCACCCACCGCACGCGCTCTCTGGAAAAGAAAAAAAAATAGACGATAACAGAAGACCGTTGTAGCAATGTCAATGCCAAGAGCTCGTGCAGGGGAAAGCGATTTTACGCTATCCGGAACAAAAAGGATACGAGCGTTTTTCAAAACAAAATAATCGTATGCCTATTTCGTTTTGTACGCTTTTGTTCACGCACCCAACGGTGTGTGAACGCGACGCCGGTGCCCGACAACTTCGCCATGTCGTTTCGTGGCTGTCGCTGCGACTCTACTGTGGATCAGCGCGTTCTTCTTGAATTTTTTTCTATCCGCCTTCACGCTCTCCTGCTCTCGGCATGCAACGACGGGCAGGGCTACGTCGAAATTTTAATTAGCGATTTTGACACTCCTAGTAATAAGACCGAAAGAAAACTTGGACATAATTTTTAAAATGCCTACATTAAAACATTCATTTTTTTTGTTTTTCTTTTCTTAAAGAACTGTTTTTAGCTTCTCTTTCAACCAGCTTGCCCACATTCTTGCGTTAGTATACCTCCTTTGCGGTGAGATGACCACTACTCATCCGAAGTTGGAATGCTGTGCAGGTATGGAGCTCCGACGCCGGTGCAGCACACAGCCCTCCGTCGGACCTGGTCATGCGCAACCAGCAGTGGCCCCACGTTGAACCGATGCGCACAGCCTTGCTCAGCGCTGATGGGGAGGAGGTGAGCGCCTTCGGGTTAGTGTTTTGCCATTGTAGATGGGCTGCACTATAGGTGTAATTTTCTTGTGAAGTTGCTCGTTCAGTTACCACCTTTGAGAGGCCTCCATCTGTTCGAAAACGGTCCAGTAAAGTTAAAATTAAATCAAGTCATCTAGAGCTTCCTTTGAAAAGCCTATGTATTGCCCGCACTTTGATTTGGTGTGAAAACCTGTTAAGATCCTTTTTGCCTTTTCATTCATATACTTTTAAACCCTTAATGTTTTGGAGCCTCTAATTTTTGCGAAATACGTGAATTGTAAAATTGGTTTTAGTGATTTTAGTTTAGTGGTTTCTATAGGTAAATTCCAGCCTTAAGAAATCGCGAAATTTAATGGTCGCGAATATGACCCCGCAGTTCAATTTTCGAAAATTCGGGGCCGCGAAAATAAAGGGTTTCACGGTACCAGAAGGGAAAATAGTTATTCATAAGACACTTGCATGTAAGATATCATCGATGTGTGAAATTAAAGGGTACAAGCTTTGTTTTTCCCTTTGAATTGTGGTATTGTGTCCTTTTTTGGTGAACACTGCTTGATTTATCTTTGATTCGACACCAATAATAACCGTTTGCACGTGTTCATGCTGTGTCTTTCTTCAGTCGGCATGTAGTTCAGAAGTGGCTTTTACAATGAGCTCTTCTCGACACTTCTATTGCCGTGTCTGGTTGCTCTTCTGAGGGGCTGATACTTGCTTTGATTCTGTCTATCTCCATATAGTGCTTTAAAACTTTCTAGTTGTCCCTGGGCTCTATTTGCAGGGGCGGGACAGCTGCACCAATTGTGCCATTTTGATACATTCAAATTTCCTGCGCCTAGCGGCACCAAAAGCGTGAAACTGACTAACTATGCTACGCTCTGCAAAAAATCGCGGTGGCGCTAAATTTAGCAGAAAGTGAACTCTGTCGACAACCTTGGCTATTTCATATACCAGGTGGCGCAAGCTGCTGCCAGATTCCTTGGTTCAGCCTATCTGTTCATTTATCCATCCATCCGATGGATTCAATGTACACATCCATAAATCCTAACCATCGTGTCGTTGCATCATACATCATACATGCTATGGTGTATTGTGCATGTAGCATTATTGATCGAGAGTCATGCCACTTTAGTTTTAATAAAAATTTGTTCCCCCCAAAAATTTCTTTGTACAATTTCAGGCATTGCACAGTAAAGTTATATTCACATGTAGTCTAGCGACTGGGAAAACCGGGAATCGTTAGGGAAATTTTAATTACCAGGACAACTCGGGGAATTGTTAGGAATACTGTAAAAAAATCGAGCCCAGTCAAGGAAAACGAGCCGGAAACGCCATTGAGTGCCCTGAGCAGACTTGAAGACTTGGGTGCAGAAAAGTGGGCAATAAAGTTTGCTTAGAGCGGAGCATGGTCTCTGCTCACACGATGTAGAATGTGCTACCCGATGCCTATTGGAACAGCCGTCAAACCCAGTCGAAGCCTTGGATTGGGTTGGATTATTTTGAGGGCACGACACTAGGCTAAATCCAGTTGGAGTTACTCGATTTAGTAACAAATTGGAAAGCCACAGACCCCAATATAATCCAAGCCGGAGGTATCCAAAAGTGTCCGTTTGGCGGCCGTGCTGCCATTCTGTTAGTAACAAGGCGTGTGTGGTTGAGCATCGTGTTTTCATCGTGTTTCTGGAAGTGGGCTCTTCACTGACGATGTCCGCGACAAGAAAGGGCTCATTTATTCCAGGCAGGACGAACCCAAATATTTTTTAATATGAAGGTTGGATTAAGCCCATGCAAAATGATCCTCACACTGCTCAATGCTCAATACCTTGTGTTGTAATGTTCCTATATATTTAATCGCCTCTACAGCGGTCAGGAAATTTCTCCTAAATTTGTCTGGGAAAACCTGAAACAGTCAAGGAATTTCAAAATAATTTGCTAGACACCCTGTATTAAATACTTCCCAGCACTTGCAGTACAAACCTAGTTTATGTTCCAGCAAAGTGAAACGCTGCAAATAAAACTGCTATGGTTCTAAAAAAAACCTCGATGTTAGCACCTGTGCACGCGATTCTGCATTTAGGGGATGAGCTTTCGTAGGTGTACTCACGGTCGTACACATACGGCGGTCACCTTGCGGAGCGGCTTCTTTGCTGCGGTAACCCTATGGAAATGACCCTCGAATTTCTTAGGTTGTCATGTTGAAGCTCTCGGCCGCATTGAAGCTCTCGGAAGCATTGAAGCTCTCGGAAGCATTGAAGCTCTCGGAAGCATTGAAGCTCTCGGAAGCATTGAAGCTCTCGGCCGCATTGAAGCTCTCGGCCGTAATTGAAGCTCTCGGCCGTAATTGAAGCTCTCGGCCGTAATTGAAGCTCTCGGCCGTAATTGAAGCTCTCGGCCGTAATTGAAGCTCTCGGCCGTAATTGAAGCTCTCGGCCGTAATTGAAGCTCTCGGCCGTAATTGAAGCTCTCGGCCGTAATTGAAGCTCTCGGCCGTAATTGAAGCTCTCGGCCATAATTGAAGCTCTAGGCCGCATTGAAGCTCTAGGCCGCATTGAAGCTCTCGGCCGCATTGAAGCTCTCGGCCGCATTGAAGCTCTCGGCCGCATTGAAGCTCTCGGCCGCATTGAAGCTCTCGGCCGCATTGAAGCTCTCGGCCGCATTGAAGCTCTCGGCCGCATTGAAGCTCTCGGCCGCATTGAAGCTCTCGGCCGCAGTCCCGTTGCTCGCGCACGATACGAATGACACACTCCGCTGCACACATTTTGAAAATTACCTGCAGGCAGGCCTCGGGCACATTCGAAGCACCTTTAACACATATGCATGCTTCGAACGTTTCTGCAGATGATTTTTCTATGACCCACGTGACGAGGCAGTGCATTGTTTGCAAAGTCTATTTTTTATCATGAATTAGCAGTGTAACCGGAACTCTAGCGCTTCTGCGGCATGTTACGGCTGACGAGTTGATGCTCACTGTCGTTGCGCCCCCAGGTGGCCTTTCGGGAAAATCGGCGGCGTCAGTTCAGGCGCCTCTCGGAAAGGTCGTCTGGCGCGGGAGGATATTCGACGGGGCGTGAGCCCTTTTTCCAATAGCACGTGAGTACCTCTTCTTTCCTTCGGTTTCTTCAATGGGGCATGGCTTCTTAATTTATGCAGGAAAGAAAAATTAATTAAAACAATTGGAAACTTTTTCTAACAGCATATATATATTAAAACTGGGTTCCGGGAGGGTTGGCCGAGAGTGCCCCAGCAAGTTTGAATTCCGGTCGGGGTGGTTCCTTTTTGAAAGCTTCTCCCAGTGATCGAAATTAATCCTCAATTCTCCGCAGGGGCGTGACGATACCCTTTGTTGGTACAGCACGCGAAAGCGCGCCAGATAGTTGTTCTCCATTTTAAGACTTGTTTTGGCAGAACCAAGCAACTAATTGACGCGTGACAATGAGGTGAACGCTCGCTTATATATGTATTGTTTACATTGTAGGCTTGTTTACTGCTTCATCGCATTCCAGGGGCACTAAATCATGTTCCGCGATAGTCTATGACCACTACCTCAATCTATGGGCTCTAAGCGTGCTAAGAAACCAAACATCACATCCATGCGTGGCGATTCCTCTAATGAGATCGGTATTAAAGGTTGATTACCCTGGAACTATTACGAACACCAGAGGCCACCGTCGGAGAGGAGCTTATTTTTTTCCGACTGTGCCCTCTGGCGTGTGATAGTTCTGAGATAATTGGCCTTTGATACCTATCTTAATTTTTTTTAATCTGCTACACATAAATGTAATTTATTTTTAAGTAAGGTTACTGCTTGTAGATTGAATTGGCACCTAGACTACCGTAGAAAGTGGTTTAGCGCCCCTTTAATGCCAGAACCAATAGGGGTTCATCAAGTTTAGAATGTTTGATACGCCCAGTTTTGGAGGAATAAAGCAACACCACCTATAGTGTTCAAAGCCCGTGTTCTAGTATTTCGACGTTGCAGCGAGCTATTGCTCGGGTCTAGTTGCCGAGCGGGCGCTATCCGGGCGCGATAACTTTGCGTGGACTTAATCCAAGGAGGCTGTTGGCAGGCCTTGATTATTTTGGTTCGTGCTGTCTAAACAGGCATTTCGGTCTCCGCAGCAGCGGACTTACACGCCTCTGGCGGTTGAGAGCATTCTAGTCTCCCGAACGCCGGACGGGGCTCTTTTCTCTTCGTTGACTTTTATTAATTGAAAGTTTGTATCGTTCGGACTGTTTCAGCAGCCCCCTCGAAATTCGGATTAACGAGCTTTTACTGTAATAGACCGATCTGGCCGGACAGTACGACTTCACTGCATCGAGTGAACTTTGTCAGCACAGACGACAGCTTCTCCGGAACTCTGCCCGTGCGCAGCGTCGAGACGGCGCGAGCCCTCCCCTGCACCGCCGTCTGCCTCCCGCCAACTAAAGTTCTGACGGCGTCGCGCATGTGCCGAACACTTGGAGAGATCGGTCGGTTAGGGTTGTCCTTGTTCTGAAAACGCATTGGTGTTGCGAAGGCTCGTTGCACGCCGTGAAATTCACGAACTTTCTAGGGCCTGTCATACCTGAGCCTCATTGTCAAACGAGGGTTAGCTGCATTACCTAGAGCAGATGCTTCTTTTTTTCGTCTTCAAGATTTTGCTTTTGCGAAAGCTTTGAATAAGCCATATTCTGCATTTCTTGGGCTGCGAGTGGCTATCGCGTTGGTGTTGGTGCAGCGATGTTGGACATAGTGCATAGCAACATGTTTTAAACTTTTTGATTGCTCTATAATGCATGAGAGCATGCATTTCTTGTCGGTAGGTGTTACTTTGGCCCATGTTCTGCCGGCGCTTTGCTTCCGGTTATATACTGCCACCATCCCAGGAATACCGAGGAACTCTAGTCAGGGCAGTCTGTCGTAAAAATAGGTTACGTGAGTTTTCTTTTCACACATTGACGTTTGCTTTTTGCGGCCTTTGCAGGATTCCAACGACCCCAACTGCTGCTGCGTGATGTAAAGAAGAAAGAAAAAAAATGAAAAAGTCATCAGAGTGGCGGAACCTTAGTGCCATTTATTTTATTGGTTATACTTCTTTTTCCTTTCTCTGTAATTCTCTCTTACCCATCTGTATTTGACTGCCGTTGTTTTATCTCTAGAAAGAAAGAAAGAAAAAAAAATAGCTTAACGTGTCCCCACATCACCTGTCTAAAGCATTTCTGTAACCTGCTAACTTCATATTCTAACCCCTTTGTGTGCGTGCTTTTGTTGCTGTCGTTTCATGACGCATGTAACCTACGTCATGTTATATTAAAGTGCTGTCTTCTTCGTAGTGTAGTGCTCGTTCGTTTAGTTTAGTGGACAGGGGAACCACATTACTTGCAGCAAACCTTGCGTGGTGTTTGCTATGATTTTTCCAAACTTTTTTCCTGTGTTTGAGGTAAAACCTCCAGTTTTTAAACCTTAATCGCTTTAGAAAAAGGGTGTAGCTGCAACATCACTGCGATAGGTTTTGGGAGGACATCATTCAGCAGCTCTGGCAGCAGTTTCTGAAGCTCTGGTTTCGCTAAGAATTTTTGGCCAGTTTTTTGGCAAGTCGACTCCGGTGTGTTGCAATTGTAAGCGCAGGTCGTACCAAGATCAACATAAGTACCTTGTGAACCATATTTCTTAGTTTGCCAACTGTACCTGTGAAGTGCTTTTTACCAAAAAAGCAGGTTGCTTTTTTTACGTGGGCGACACGGGGGTTAATTTGTTCTACGGCACACGCGACTTTGTCCTGCAGTTTATTGGAATGTGGGCAGTGTTTTGGAGCACTTGATTATGGATGTCTTGACTTTGATTGTTGTCTTGGGAAATGTCTGTTCGTTTGACCTCGCAAACAAAAAAAAAAGATTACCTTTTTTCACAATTTTGTTTGAATTTATTGTGTGTTACATCGAAGCACCATATTTATGCTTAGTTTGTAAGCTGCCCAGTTGAAACTTCTGCGTTTGGACAGTTTAGTGGTTGCACTGGTTGTTGAATGATGTATGTTAATCAAAAACATCGCAGGCAAGGCTAACGTGTTGTTTGGGGTTAGTCTCTAGATTTTCTTTGTCAGGGGAATATGGATCTTCTCAATCATTTCCCTCCACTCGCGATTTTCTCAGTTGCAGTGTTCTCGGGTGTGCACACTTGTACGCAGTCGTTGATGTTAATAATTGCCAAGGTAATTGCACTGCCGACACAAATACCATTTCACCTCCTCCGCAATCATGGCAGTGAGTTTAGATCCTAATTTTTTTTGCCAAAGTTTCTGGTTACACTCTGTGTGAACTGCTCGATGTTTTGCCCGCTAGATTTTTCTACAAGCTACTTAATACAACGTAACTATCGAAGTCCTTCAACAGAAACCTTTTTCGACTGTTGGACGTAGAGCCCCATTCAGTTTCTCTGTTTGACATGGAATGTGCAGTTTTTCTCCTTTCCAACTTGAGCTGGACCACAGCAGCTGCTACGAGCCATCGGAGAAAATCCAGTGCTGTATTGGCTGGGATTTCTCGTAGCATGCACTGCAATCCATCATTGCAGTGCATGCTTCGAAGGTGTAGAGTAAGAGCTCATCTCTTGTATTGGGTTTGTCTTTGTTTAGTTGTGTAGCCTCTGCAAGCGATTTTTTCCTTTGTCTTGGATCCCAGTGAAAGTGTTCACTACTTCCAAACTCGTTCGTGTCAAAATGTGCTTCCTGGTATTTTTTCTGTGGGTAGCATTTTTTAATAGAAAGCTAAACCTATGGTGCCAGTGTCCACTGCCATGCCTCACCCTAGCGTGCAGTTGAGTCCTATTTAACCGTGCATGAACCCGCTACATGAAGTTTCATATATTATCAGTTTCCCAGAGTATTCAATATTTTTAGTCTCGCAAGACGTGTTGGCGCTCCTCAAAAACAAAAAAGTGCCTCAACGCCCAGCCTTCACGTGTCCCCGTCCTACATTGACCCCGCTTTTGTTCAAAGTGTTACTTTTTCGGGGTGCCTTTTTCATAAGTCTCGTGCTGGTATATGACCCTCGCAAATTATTCGGCAGTCTCGGAACTGTCGTTCTTCACTTTTACTGCACAGATTCGCAATTAAATGTTTGTTCATTCGTACATTGTCTTTGTCACTTTTTGCGGCCAACCTGCTCTGCCTCAGGATTGTCCATGTGCTTGCTGCGTTAAATTGGTTCTCAACTGTCGGACGAAGGTCTCTGCCAAGTGGTTACCCCCGTACACTGTGTTGCATTTCGCCAAAAACGTGATGTAGCTCGGAGCATGTGGGCCAAAACTTGCACTATGGAACCTGGGGACCATGGGTCCGATCCACTCCCCTGCCAGTTTCTATTTGGATCAGCTTGGCACCGGCGTGTGGTCGTGTATCACCACAGTATGTTGCCCATTGAAGATCCCAGGCTGGCAGCGGTACTTCACTGGCTAAATTTCTCGTCTACAGCAGAAAGCAGACGCCCGCTGAGGCTTATTTAACATAATTCTTCAAAATGTGAGAAATCTTATTTCTTTCTGATTGTAATACCAATGACTCGTTCAGGACCTTGTTAGACCCCTTGTCAGACCCCTTCCTTTCATGTTGTGGTAGGCCTGTTCAAATCTTGATGAGCTCAATATTGCTTCAAATACCGTACTATCCGGTTCGATCATTGCATAAAACATTGACGAAACTTGTCAGTTGGGCTTCGAATTGTGCGGAGGAAGTTCGCCCACGACGGTAAACATTACAATCTCGCTTCGCTGCAGCACACCCGCGTGCTTGGGAAGAAGCAACCTTCGAGAGAGGGACTGTGCTTGCACATTCTCGTTAACCTTGTGGTAAAAGTTTACAAGAAAAATCGCTATGGTATTGTAAATCGCGATACTGTGGTAAGTCGCGTGCATTGGTGGTTGTGATTTGTCTCAAGTCGTGCCTTTTAAAATCGGCTTAGTCAATTTTTTAATATTTTATTTCAGAATTTATTAGATTATGTTCAGCTTTCGAAAGCAGTCCTGTCCTTTGCGGGAAAGCTTCGTAATGGCAGGAGTCTCCCGAACACGGAACACCGCTCTAGATATGTGATAAACAAACTGCGCATAGGAAAGGTTCAATCTGCTATAGTTTAAAAATTCCGAAACAAATATTTTGGTATTTTGAAACTTCTCAATTTCGTGGCACACCTCTACTACGAGGTGACTTACAACCAGGGTGTAAGATAGGCAAGTGGGGAAACAAGAGCCAAATAAGCGAAGCGATCAGATTGCGTCCTCCCTCGGTTTTATCCCTATCTTTTTTTCTTTCTGTGGCGCCATCTATGTGGAGCACCGCGAACTTTCCTCCCGGTGGGCGACTGGCTAAACTGACGGAGAGGGGTTTCTCGCGGATTTTGAATGGGGGACTGTCGTGCTTTTGGCTTACTTTGCATGCTTTGAAGGATCCACGGCAGTTTATTCATATAAATTGAATATTTCATTCAATTTATGAGTTTTTTTCTCACTTAATAGTTCGGGGGACATCCACAGAGTGGCGCGATCAGAGTAGATCGGAGTGGTGGTGGTGGTGGTGGTGGTGGTGGTGTTTCAGCGAGTTCGGTAGTAAGTTTCGATGCGCAGCGCTACATTGTTAGCAAGTTATCGTTTTGCCTTGAGCTCGCTCGGATCTAGACAGCACTGCGAGCTTAGAACTGCAAGCGTTAGCGAAGTAACCGCGCTGAGGACTGGATTCGTGTTTATTTAGTGCGCACGTGAGATATGTAACCATTAAGCCAGATATAATTTTTGATAGATTTTGGCTGCATTACATGTGTGACCGTGCTTGACTGCTATGACTTTTCTCAAGGCATAGGAGATGCAGCGTGCTTATTATCTTCACTGAAACCGAGGTTGTTTCATCTGACTGTCTCTAAAAGGGAGTTTGTATCATTAAAGGGAAGCTATGTAGGTTTTTGAAAAAAAAAATGAGTAAGAAGTGAATTCTAATGTATTTTTACCCTGTGAACTCTCATATCCAAACCATTTGCTGCGCAAGTATAGTTACACGCGAGAAAACGCGAAACGCAGTCGCTGTACGGGACGTCATCGACGGATTTTTTGGCTGCCCAAGGCGGGCGAGAGAGGCGGGGCTTCAGCCCTATCTTGAAATTGCTCTTTTTGCTCTTATGGCTCTCCGGCGCGTCGCAATGAAACATAATCGTGATATATGTTATTCTAAAGGCCAAACGAACGCCATACAAGTGTTTTTTTTTCTCTAATGCAGAAGTACCCCATCTTCCCTTTAAAAGGGAGGTGCATGTACAGTGGCCCAATTTTTAAATAATATCAAGTGAGCGTCGATCGCCGGGACGGCCAGCGCTGTACCGCAGAAAAATGCGGCGTCACGGGAGAGATGAAGTGTGTGCGCACAGAGCTCTCTCTGTTGCGACCGTCGTCTGCTAGGCTATTCCGTGGACCGCACACAGCCCCTGTTCATTATCTGCCGGCATAGCTAACCGCCTTTAAGCAAAGATCTGAACACGAACAGCGCTTGCTTTCGTGATAGTGCTCAGGCGTGGCCGTGGCAAAAACCGCGTGTCATCGCAAGTTTAATTTGCTTTCTTTTTGTTGATTTTATGTTTGCTAACAAAAATTAAAAACACGGTGACGCGACAATGCAACGATGCATTAAACTATATACCGCAGACAATGCTATACGAGGCATCAAAACCAATCCAGTGCTTTGACCCCGACACGTCACATCGTGCTTCCCCGTGCAGTTGTACTCAACGGGAAGGCCACGTGACTTACTTTTAGCGATGGACTGGACAAGATGGCTCGTAGCGTCGGCTGCGGTACAACACAAAGTGAAACGGAGTATAGACAGGGTCTCCGCTTGGGCTTGATCCTTTGTATTATTAACTGCGTTGTTGCTGTCGTCATCTAGCCTGTGTAGCCCGGTAGTCAGTTTTCTTTGACCAGTGGGCGCGCGCATACATTTTTATGCCTCCTCAAGGGCCCATAAAAACACGGGAACGTGTTGTGAGAATGTCGATGGGCGGCATGACGCAAAGGGATATAGAAACAAGAGTCGGGATTACACAGGCTAACGTCAGTAGGATTTTGAATGCATTTCAAGAGCAGG